TTTATAATTTTACCATTTTAATTTTCAAACGTCCCAAAAATATCAATTTTAACGACACATTTTCCATCACAATTCTTTTGTAGCAATACAAGATTTTTTTCTCATTGTTTAAGAATTTATATTCTTTTGTATTTTTTTTGCTACCATACCGACTTAGTGAAGCTGACACAAGCTGATTACAGGTAGGCCAATCATGGACAATGAAGTGCTTATTGTTATAGTAATATCGTCGCTTATATTTTTCACCATGAGTTTCTTATTTTACCCATGGATTGGAATGTCTGGAATAATATCAAAATGACTCAGAACTTTAGAACCCTCACTTTAAAACGTTCATTGCAGTCCAGGCGGTCTATCACTATAATATATTTTCAATTACGGTATATTGATGACATCGATTTCGCTTTATAATGCTCAGTAAGTCATATTAAAAAAATATTGTTTTTTTTTTTTTTATTCAATACATTTAATAGCGTTGACAAGAAATTCATTCGGCTTATGGCAGCCCAATAAAGTTCTGCCATAATTGAAATTAGTCAGCGCCTATGCCTGTGAAATTATTGCATCCTCCCAACAAAGAAGGCAAAAGGGACTTAGCACTGTGAAAATGCCTTTGCATATAAACCATGTCCGGTAATCAAGCGGAAACTTGCCAACAACATTTGCTTACTTTGAGTTTGTTTAATCGGTCCCTCCATTAAACATTTCCATCTTTTTCCAACTGCCTATTGTTTTAACTATCTTCTAACCTATTCCTTGTAAAAGGAATTTAAAATCCTTTAAGCAAAGTCGTGAGAGATCGGAGGGTTGGTTTGTGGCTACTGGTATTTGTGACGTAACTATAAATTTATATTCAATCTCGCATACAAAGTATAGTTCACTAACTAAAATTCTTAAGAGCCAAACGATTGAAAAAAAACAATTGATTGGTTTCATTCTAAATCAAACATTCAAATCATACAATAGACCAATAAGACCTATTTTACAGTTATTCCACTTTTAATAATTTATTAAGAGACGAAAATAGAATCTTTATTTCATAGAATTTAGAGGTATGAACAATGATTAAACAAATACAAATAGAAAAATCAAGATTTAACTTATCTGTAACCATCCGATATAGTGATTTAAAGTTTATCAGTAATTATCAATAAGCAAACGAATATTACATTTAGCAAGTTACTGAAAATAAAAGTTAATAGTTTTATCTGTGGGAGGTAGATCCAACGAAAAAAAATCCAGATATGGCAAGAGAATTTTCGCAATCTACCATTTACCAGGTCCTCATAATTTGATGATAATTACAGTTGGTTAGGGAGCAACAGACGCGTTGCCCGGTAACCTGATAATCTGAAGTTTACATGATAAAATAATTAACATAACAGAGTTCGCGTCCTGGTGCCGAGAGGGCTATTATTAACTCTGGCGTTCCCTGGCCCGGAAAAGAAACATGTAGAGCATACAAGGAGAGAAAGGGGTAGAGAAAAATAATAAATAATAATATTAAATATATACAAAGATAAATAAATAAATAAAAATTAATCAGAGTTGGCCTATGAGCAGGCATGACGACTATGAACACACTTCCAAATGACCGTTACCTCATTTAGAGAAGTATTACTTGCGTTGACATGTGGATGTAATTGGGATAACCTTAAAACAAAGAAAAATGGTTAGATTGTAATCATCCTATTACACTCGTCGCTACCGATTTGAAAAAAAAAAAAATCGGTCCAGTAGTTTCGGAGAAAATGCGCGGACGGCGGACGGCTGACGACGGACGGACAAAAAAATTTTTATTCGTTTTTCGAATTCTACGTATCCGGAATCGTGAAACATAAAATTTTGAGAGGGGGTTAAGTTTTGGAATTTTTTGGTCGATCACAATGGTTCATTATTGAAAATAATAAACTAAAATTGATTGTTATTGAATTAAGGCGATTTAATTAAACAAATTTAAAAATACAATGCCTATGTATTTTTTTGAATTAATAAGGGAGAATTCATATTGAATAAATGAAAGTCCTCTACCTAGCCACAACTGATCAGGTTGTTCTGGACAGCCGCCAACAAAAAGGCAAACAAAATTATAAGATCGACAAAAAGGGCATTCCACAAAGAAAGATTGCAAACCATTGAGGGCAACTGCCTAGCTGGAGATATATGCGAATTCTATGCGGACATTAGGCTAGAAAAAGTAGAAAGTAAAGAGAGAAATACACAAATGCAAGGTAAACATGGCATTCTGACGGCAACTAAAGAAAAGGTATTGAGCATCTGGAAGAAATATTCTAGGAAGTTCTTAATCAAAGAGACCTCACAAATGAAGAATGCATGGACCACACTGAGGACTTCGACCCAGAAGACGTTGAAAACCCAGATATATATGGTTTAGAAATAGCTATCGAATAGCTTAAAACAAGAAAGAACTGTTTAAAGATGGAGGAGACGACTTAGAGCCAAGCTAATACAACTAATCGAGAAAACATGGGAGGAGGAATGGATACCAGAGGCTTGGAATACGGGCCTAATCTGTCCCATTCCAATATGATTGTAGTAATTACAGAGGCGAAGCACTCCTTCCGGTTGCCTACAAAATAATGACCAATATTCTACTATTTGTATTTTGTAAATATAATAGGCGACCTCCAAGCTGGATTCAGAATAGGGAAGAGCCACGTTAGACTAGATTTTCATCGTAAAACAAATATTCGAAAAACGATGGGAAATATCACAGGACATCCATATCCTATTTGTCCATTTCAAAGCAGCCTATGATTCTATGGACAGGAACTGTCTTTGGAAAATCATGATTGAACTGAGAGTTCCTGGTAAGTTGGTGAGATTGACAAAGACGTGTAGAAACAGCCCTTAATGCCGAGTCCCAACACAAGGAGAAGTATCTGAAGCCTTCAAAATCCGGACGGGCTTAAGGCAGGGAGATGGGCTATCGCCAATGTTGTTTAACTTAGTACTTGAGAAGGTGGTAAAAATAACACCAAACGAAAATGAAGGGATCCAAGTCGGAATAAATCATAAAATCCGGAGAGAACATTGAGAAACTCGCTACGACTCTGATAAGAAAAGCAGAGCAAATCGGCCTACAAGAAAATTAAGATAAGACAAAATAAATGAAAAATATTTGCGTTTTTCGGAGGTACTTAAGGAGAGTCTATAAGCAGCAAGAACTACAAAGTAACAACTACCAATAAGTTATATCTAGGTTGAAGATACAAATTGTTGTATCCACTGCTCATCAAACCTTTTCAGGTAATTATTGTATATAAATCTGACTGCACCTCTTTTACACATACTAGCTATTCTTCAACCACGTACCTCATGTTCGTTGTTGAACCGATACAAACTAAAGAACGGTTTGACGCCAAAACACGGCTCCACTGACGGTTCATCAATTCTTGACTGCGGCGAAACAGAGGGTTGGTACTACTGTCATCCTTTTCCAAACATGTTTAGCCTTTACCTCCTCTTAGCAATTATGATGGAGAATTCGAAACTTGAAAAAGTAAATTTAAAAAAATTGTGTAAAAAAAAATTATTTTTAAATTAACAATACCTGATAATCTCCGGACAGGATACATCTGTTCCATCTTTAAGAAAGGAGATATAAACCAATGCCAGAATTATTGCATCATCTGTGAGCAGAATTATCAATAAATCCGTCCAGGGTAAGCTTGAAGGAGAATATACCACACCCGTGGTATAAACTAGTTTCAGTGCCGGAAGATTCTACACAGACAATATCTTTGTTCTAGATCAGCTCACTAAGAAATGCAGGGCGAAGAATCGGAAACTTCATTCAGCCTTCATTGATCTGGAGCAGGCATATGATGGTGTTCGTAGGGAAAGAATATCACCAGCACTGAGAAGAGTGGGTATTAATGAATCCGTTGTTCAAACAATTCAACACTTGTATGGAAGCGATGAATGTCAAAATTCGGACTGTGGAAATTTTTGGAGGTGTCTCCAGTTAACGAGACTGGACAGAGTCCGTAATGAAGTGGCGAGACAAAGAATGGATGTAGAGGAGACCGTCTCTGAAAGGAAGAAAGAGTTGAAAGAGGAAGAAAGAAGTTGAGGTGATATGGGCACTGCAAGAGCAGTCCTGGACTGGCAGTCACACGGAAGGCGTAGGCTAGGACAACCCAGAATCACGTGGATGGAAGGAGTTTGAGAAGAGATGGCCGGCCGAGGTCTGTGGAAGTCAGAGATGTATGGAGCTCAGCTCTGACCTGAAGTGGTATCCCACATTGGAACACTGGAAAAAGGTAAAAGTAACAACACAATGACTCATCCAATTACCTAGAAAGGATAATAAATGAATAATGGTGACGGCTGTTGATTTCCGAGCTTGATATTAGTGCCAGTAATAATTTCAATATTTTATTTTATTAATTTACTTTAACCAGTAACAATTATAGATTATTTTTTGTTTTAATAAGTTATTCGGAAAGATACTTATCAACTGAAAAAGTTACACGCAAAATAGAGATGATTTAATTATATTTTGTTTTTTATAGGCAGCATTTAAATGCCTTCATGCATGCTTACTTGTTTTAAATTTTGTTATGCTCACTTCTTAGATATCCTCCTTGCACTGAGACCAATTTATTAGATATAAACTAAATTTGTTCACAGGAAATTAACATGGAATATAAATGTCTAGATTATTACTTTTACATTTATAAGTTTAATTTAATTATGTTAAGATTAAAAGAACAAAATCAAATCTATGATGTAATGTTAATGACAAAAGAGAATATTTTATTGTAAAAAAAAGAATATTGTAAAAACAGAATTATTTGATATTGTAATATCAGCTCGTGATCATTTAAATATAAAACTTTTAATGTCATGTATGTTTATTTGTAATTTATTAAATTCGGTATATATAAAAAAAATTACAGATCATTTATATTTGGCACTACTCTTCTTTAAATTGAAACTCATGCTCATAACCAACTAGTAATTGTTTCTTACAGATGACAGACTGGAAAATTACAAAAACGAAAATGGCACCGATGTAGAAAGAAATATTAGGACAAATGAAATTGCTGGCCCACCTAGAGGGATCACAGAACAAAGCTTTGATAAAACTGGTACTGAAAAAGTCGAAAATTTAATGGGAGAAAAGCAACTACCCAATGTGCATGAAGCAAATAAATTTGAGAATCGAATATACGAAGGTTATGATAAAAATAATGAAAATAATCCATCATATCCTCAAGAAGCTAATAAAGATAAAGATGTTAAGAAAGAGCAACCTAATCATGAAAATTTAGCTAAGGAATATAGTAATGAGCAAGACTACAATAAAGGAGAAATTGAAGAATATAAGCAAAATACCTACGATCCAACTGCTACAGAAGGGTATATTCAAGAACAGGAATACTCTCAACAAAATTCTGAAAACTATAACCAAGGTCAAGAATATAGTCAAAGTGGCGATGTAGGATACAATCAAGACCAAGGATATGACCCAAATGCTCAAGGGCAAGAATATGGTCAAGGGCAAGAATATGACGAAAGGCAAGCAGACAATTACAATCAAGAGCAAAAGTACGATCAACCAGAGATGGAAGGATATCACCAGGAAACGGGACAGGTATATGGTCAAGGAGTAGAAAGTTATGAACATGGCCAGGACTATAGTCAGCCCGATGGTGATATAGCGATGTATCAGGGAGGCAATGAAGGATATGAGCAAGGACAACCCTATGACCAACAAGGTGAAGTGGCTTACGACCAAAATCAATTATATCAGCAACAAGAAGCAAATTATTCTCAAGAACAAGGATATGATGCCACGAATAATGAGTATAGCCACGATCAAGTATACGATCAAACCGGAGCAGAACAGTACGAACATAATCAAGGTTATGACCAGTTGCAAGGTGAAGGGTACAACCAAGGCCAGGAATACGCAAGCCAAAATGAAACATATCCTACTGAAGTCAACTACCAGCCAAACCCAACGGACCAGGCGTATGTAGAAGGAGAAAACTATGGATCGGAAGGGTACATTTATGAAGAAAAAAAAATAGAAACCTAACTGCCAGATTGTCAATTCAACAATAGCTTCTGTAAGTTTATACTAGAAATGATATTAATGGTATGGAGCTAAGTAGTAATAAATATTATATAGACAACAATTAAAAGGAATTTTGTTCACCCCGAAATACTCAAATGACTGGCTGTGGGTTTCAGTTCAGTCAATATAACTTTTTAGGCTAAGAGATTTATATTCAAAAGAGTTTTAGAAAAAGTTACCAGATTTTAAAAAATATATAGAAAGAATGAGAGAGAAAATTGGTCCATTCATTTATTTATTATTATATATATATCGTATTGCTTTTGAAGTTAGGGAATTTATCTTTAGATTGAAATGAATAGTTAATCTAAAGTAGTTTGTAAATCCTTATCTCTGTAAGAAATGCATTTTAATCTTAGTTGGATCATGTATGTGCAGAGTACTCTAGCATAATTGTGTCAACACATGTGTCTATAAGGAGTAACATGCATTGGTTGGTGGATCAAAGGAACGAATCTTGACCTTTCCATCCAATAGAGTCTAAAGGGGCTAAGCTTAGTTACGAATTTGCCATACCATTCTATCATTCGCAGAGACGGGCTTGTTCTCTGACCCTCGGCTCAGGAGCGCTGAATGTCAGAAGGCTCACACAAATATTTATTGGTTTAAACGAAAAGAAAATGTTTATAAAATTTATTGATTTACTTTATTATAGATTATTTACTTGAGAAATGCCCCAATTATATCAGAGGGACGGCAAAAACCTATGTGCTTAGAAGCGCCTAAAATTTAAACCCGTCCTTGACCATAAGGAAATTTTGAGAATCATTGGTGAGTTATGCATCCACCTTACTAATCCACTGATTTAATTTTTTTTTTTTTATAAGCTTATTTATTGAAAAATATTATAATCTGTCTCAAGGACATTTATAATAGTGTTCACAGATCACATTCACGCTCTATGTACAGTAAATAAAATATTTATTGAAAAATATTACAATCTGTCTCAAGGACATTTATAATAGTGTTCACAGATCACATTCACGCTCTATGTACAGTAAATAAAATAAATTATACAGAAAAAATAATATATATACAATAAATAAGAATAAAATAACCTAAAAATAAATAAATAAAGAGAACACATACACACCTATATACAATATTTACAATTTGGCGAGAGAACTCCAAACCAGACTTGTCCCTCCAACTGTGGAGGGAAAAGTATGACTCCAGGAGTTCCCTGCACTCCTCTCTCAACCGCGTCACTAGGGCTAAACCCAGTGGAGATTGAGCAAGATTGCTTTAGCCTGATTTAATTAAATATAGAATTAATATACAACTAAATTAGACTCTTTTCTACTTTAAACACACAAGATAATTTTTTTTACCCGACTCAAGCGAAGCAAAACGCGGCTTATGTGTTTGGGTCTTCCGCTAAATGCTATGTAACGCTTTCTTGGACGAACGGTTGGATCGCTTTTTTAAGTTTGGTGGCTCAAGTTATTCAGTGTGATCCCAAGAGTGTTTTGAAACAATTTAAGCTAAAATACTGACTCGTTATTAAATAAAATGTATTTTCTCAATTTGCAAAAAGCTTTGTAGCGCTGTTTTGAGCGAGTAGCTGGTATCAATTCTTAAGTTTGATGGCTCAAATTATTCGTTGAGATTATATGAATGTTCTGAAACAATTTGAGCTAAAAATACCCACCCTTTTTTAAATAAGATGTGTTTAATCAATTTGCAAAAACCGTTGTAAGGCTATTTTGAGCGAACGTCGATTTTGTGTGTTTAGAAAACTAAACGATTCGAGTGTAATGTGTTCACAGTGTCCGTTAAAAGGTATGTAACGCTGCTTTGAGCGTAAGTCGATTTGATTCAATCGATTTTTGAATTTGATGGGTCAAATTATTCGCTGATTCCGTGGATGTTTTGAAATAATTTTAGCTCAAATTACTGTGTAAAGTGTATTTAACCTATCCGCTAAAAGGCACGTAAAGATTTTTTGAGCAGAGGTGGTAGTTAGTTATTCAGTTAGATTCTGTGAATGTTTTTGAAACAATTTAAGATCTGAAAATTAAAAAAAAAAAATATTATAGTTAAGTATCTTGATTATTAATTGATTTGAAATGATATCATGCGAACATATGTTGTGAAAATGAATTATTAATATTTTAATATTAATGTCAATCTCTCAAAAGTAGATCTGGAAGTACATTCCTTTAGGGTGGACAGAATTTTTAATTACTTTTTCCAGATAAAATATTTTCTCACCTTTCAGGAGAGGAAGGGGGTGCGCCCTTCTCCTGGATCCACTAGTGGAAGAATATAAGCCACAAGATGTGAATTTTTCAGTTTAGCAATATTCAACTTTTGAAAAATTCTACAATTCTCATTTAACTAGTTCATCCGTGCAAATTATTCGCAGGAAATTTTATTTAGTGAAAGAATAGCAAAATAATATGGAAATCAGTAGGTGCTCACATAGTGGAGCAACGAAAATAAACACATGCATTTCTAAAGAACACCACATAGTGGAGCGAAGAGCCGAGCGACTATAAGCGCTACTACTAGGAATAAGAGTGAAGAAATCAAACATGCTTGATTTCGTTGCCTTGCTTGCTGGTGATTTTATCCAAAATTGAAGTTTATCTCCTTATTACTGAAGTGTTTAATCACTACTGCAAATGTTAAAACTGTTGCAAATAATTCAAAAATTTAATCTTTATACTGTTTTATTTCTCAAAGGTGTTTTTATATCTATATTTCTATATCTTCGTCAATCCTTCATAGTATCTAATGATTGACCACTTGTGTTTAAAGTCTCCTTCTCCTTCAGGTTGAAAAAATAGTCATATCCCCCTGAAATTTCAGGAAAAATATTATGAAGGAAAATAAACTTTATTTACAAATAACTCATACTTTTTTTTTATATTGTACTCATGATTATTTTGAAAGATTAATGAAAATTTTTTACAGCTCCATATTCCATAATATTGTAGATAAATATATTACGCCTCAAAATATGCCGGCCATTTTGTAATATAATTTCATTGATATTTTGTTTTTAAAATTTTTTTTAATCGAAAAGCCACACATTTCGACAAATAAAGCGTGCACATCTGAACAACTTCCTATAGATTTTGTTTTAAGATGATCTGGTCTAGTCTTTTCTTCCCTCTTTTAAGTCCAGTTTGTTGTCCGCCTATATCTGTATTACTTATATATAATTAGCGTCATATAATTTCGTAATATGGGAATATCCGGCTTAATATTGATCATTATTTTGTAAGCAACCTTTGTAATTACTACTCATACATCGACTTTTTCTTTATGATAGGATAGATTAGTTCCCTGCCCCAATCCTTTGGTATCCATTCCTCCTCCCATATTTTCTGGAATTGTTGTAACAGCATGGATCTTAGATCTTGTCTCCCATTTTTAAACAGCTCTGATGATTGGTTGTCCATCTCTATGAACTTTCTTTTTTTAACCCTGTTGAGAGCTATTCCCACTTTCAAAATATTTGGTTCGATTAGACATTCTTGTGGTTCGAAGTTCATAGTCCCTTCCTTCACTGGTGCTCTTTGAAAATAATCCTTCTGGAAGCTTAGTATCTTATCTTTTGATGCCAACAGTTTGCTGTTTTTTAATCATACTTGCTTATTGGTCTCCTGCCCATGATCAATTTTGTTTCTAGTGCCTTCAATAAGGGCTTATAAAGATGGGATTTTGGGTCTCCATTGTCATTGCATGTTTCTTGGGGGCTTTGGCCCATGGTAATGGATCTAAATTGAAATTTTTGACCTATCTTGGCACTGAAATCATCTTTGATTAATTTTGTGCCATATTTATGAGCTGGGTTCACATTTTCTAACTGTTAAATTATGGAATTGAAATTCCCATTTATGAAGTAACTGACAGTGTTTTCACTATTTGCTGCAACGCAGCAATCTGGTATAATAGCTCTCGCACAAAATATATCCTGTAGCTGGCACGGATTAAATTTGGAAAGTTGCCTAAGCAGACAGCCATTATTTGGTTTTAAATGGTAAGTACTTTCTAACTTAAGGGTTACTAAGTTAAAAAATTTTGGTAATGTATACCTTGCTGGCTCTTTCTCTAATAAACTAATTGCAAAGGGAGAAATATCTTCCATCAGTCTGCCTCACTGATTTTTCATTCCTCTACAGCTCAGCCTCTGCTTTCATACCTTCTAGGACATCATACTTTTGGTTTGAACAGCTTTCTATGATACTTCTGGTAATCCATCTAGCTTTCTTCGTCATCCTCCAGACCAATGACATGATCAGATCATCAGTGTTTGATGGCTATTTTATGACTTTTTTTACTGGTCTCACATAAACTATCCTTCCTTTCATTTCCAAAGAGATATCTTCTTGACTTCATGAGAACATTTCTGAGGTAGCCAATTTTTAGCTGTCATACTAGCATGCTACCACTCCATTCCGATACTGAATGAATGGGAAAATTTTTGGAATAATATTTTCAAGAACAGGTAAAACAATGAAAAATTTCTTTATTTCATTAGGGAAAAACGCTGATCCACAATTAGGAATTACAATCTAGGTCTTTCTGGCAACCATAAAACTTAGTAGTGTCAAGAGTGCTCTCTGCTACCTCAGATATCCGGTGATGACAATTCATATATTAGTGCAAGGTATTCTTGAATGCTTGAAGCTGCTACATTGAACGACAACCAAAGAGAAGGATTGGTAGGGCTTCTAGAGATGCTCTAATTGAGGATTGGAAAGGTAACCATAAGTAGATGGAAATTAATAATCCAGGCACCATAAGAAAATTCTTTCCGATTGTTCAATGCCAATTAGCAACAATATGGATGTTGCTAGACTACTGAGTTTCACATGTCCTCACATGGCATGATGACCAGCACCATGTTAGAGGCACTAAGGAATATGCTACGTGGGAATGAGGTTATGTTCTCACTAAAAGTGATTTTCCTCTCCCCATGAAAGAAAATTAAAATCCTTTCGAAATTCGTTTATGGGAGGGAAGTAGCAGTGAGACCTGAGAACTTCAACCGTAGTTCTTCAAGATGAAGGTGACTGAAGAATCTTCAAAGGACAGAGCTCAAAGTTTAAAAGGTAAAGTTGGGCTAATAGAATTATCATTCATTATAACCAATCCAAAACCCGAATTGCCATTGTGTATAAATAAATAATTAAAATAAACCTTATAAAAATATTGTATGAACTAATTTTGTTTACAATATCTACTTTTACTTCAATAAATTAACAAGGTAATAAATAATTAAACCAAACAACAGTTTTTTTGCAATTCTTTATTGTTTAAAACATTATCATTTTTTATATGTTTATCAATTTTGTTTTCTTTTTGTTTTCATCAATCAATAAGTTAAAATTACATCTTAAACAAAAATATAAATAAAAAGATGAAAAAAATTACCAATAAAAATAAAAGTTTTTTTTTTTAATTTAATTGTATTTTTTTTAAATAATATGAATATAATTTAAGGACATCACAATTTACTGGAAAATGCATAAACTATTAATGGTATTGATTCAATATGATGAGAATCTTAAGAAAGACATTCCTAAGGAAGGTTTTAATTGTTTCCAATGTATCTTAACATTTGTACACATAAAACAATAATTTCTAGCTTCACTAGACATTGTAACACAGGTAATAGATATCACAACTTACAAAGTTTTATGATCATATAATATACATGTCTAAACATAAATAAAAAAAATCTAATATATGTATAGTATAAACATATTTACACAAAGACATCTATCAACTATACATTTGTTGGCCACTTAGATTTTTCCTCTTTTTAAAAAACAGATAAACAAATCTTGTATTTGTGGTATTTCATTCTGTTTTTTTGTTTTGTTTTTTTAATATTAAATATATGTTTAGATTGTAAGAGTAAAAAGAGGTATAATAAATGGTTAAAAGCTATAAAATATAATTGAACTGAAGTTTGCAATATAAAGCGTCATTAAGTCAGTAAGATCGCCAGGAAGAGAGCTAAAAGGAGGCAGACATCGCGGGGGCAGGGAGATACATCACACTTTGAACACATTCATTACTTTAATCAATTTGGCACAATATATAGGTCAATACAAATCTCTCTTCTATAAATATTCATCGCCAAAACAAACAGATGAGTTCTATCAAATCAAGTTATATCAACATTCAAACCCAACCACTGATAGACTGATGATGTGAAATAAAAATAAAAATAAAAATTATACAATTCAGCTCTGTCTATAATTTATATAATTAAAACATAGTACTTACTCCTCTCCCTTTAAGAAGGTTAAATATAAAGTATTGGTTAACACGCTGTATCTTATGAGCTAAGAACAGGCAAATTTACAGGTAAAATATAAAACTAAAGATATGGGTACAGCGATTGCACTTGCTTTCGGATTGGTAATAAAATTAAAAAAATATATTCTAAAAGAGCAGCTATAGGGGCTTCTCCTTATTGGTACTCGACATTTTCGAACAGCACTTCATTCAGAACTGGAAAAAATTCAACAGAATAATCAATATCAACTTTATCAAATATGTCAAAACAAAAAAAAAATTATCTTTTGAATCTTTTTTTTTCAAAATGTTTTTAACTGTCAAACATTTATAGATATTAATCTTATAAAAATATCTACCAAAAATATTTGATAGTGTTTACATTTGGTAGTAAATTTTTCATAAGGCCAAATTTAAAAAATGAAAGTGCATAAGGAATACTGGATGTAATGTATAAGTACGAGTATTTAACCTTAACAAAAATCTGGGGCATAAACAATTAGGTAACAGTTTAACTGCTAATCAAAGTGATTAAAAAACTTCACCCTAAACTTCGAGGAAATATAAGATTATAAATTAATTGTCATGCAATTTCATATCTGTGATCTGCGATATTTAATGATTCTAATCACTGGTAATAAATTATTTAATACTTCCAAAATATATTCCAAAAATTGTTTTCTTTCATTTTTGTGATACACGGCTCACTTGAAAAGTTATTGTGTACTCCAGCAGAGACTACTAGCAAGTTTTGCCTATTGAGTGCTGCCAATACCATCAATCTCATATCATAAGGTTTGGTCATCCGAAGTTTGTAGGTCATCATCAGGGCATATTATCAGCATTGAATCTTCAATGCTGATGGTTCAAGTACTGAATACTTAACATGGTAACATGCTCATCAGAGCTCCAAAAGCTTGAGTTGAAACATTGGCAATAAAAGTTTAAAAACTGAATGCGTCCTGACTATCACCTCGTAAACAATTTTAGTTTTCCATATCAGAAAGAACTTGAAAACTTGATCAAAGAATCCATCCCACACTAACAGAATGTATCTCAATGGAATTTGCGAGAATTTTTAATTTTGATTTGTTGGTTAGGATTTTGTAATAAAAAGAAAAACACAAAGTTCCGAATTTTAGGCATGCATATTTACAAAGATAATGTACATCGAAGAAAAGTGGAGGGGGTAGGTTGAAGTGGTTCAGTTATACTTGCTACATCACATTACAATCTAAGAAAGCCTAGCTCAATCCTATAGTTCTTAGCTCGGTAAAGTAGTATATGCTTTCAAACATGCATCCAAGTAATATCCTGAATACGTTCTATATCACATTGATTCTATTAGGGTTAAAATCTTTGCATTTTGTCCATGAAAGTATCCTGTGTAGTATTTATTTGTCTATAAGAAAATTCGAAATTTGTATTTAGCTCATAAATTCTTATTTGCTTTGTTCACACACTGCCATATTTTCTGCAGCACTCCTCATTACTTTTTCCCATTACTCAATATAGATAGATCAATTTAATAACTCTTTGGAAACTTACGAAAATTTTATTGATTTACAAAATCAAAGTACATTTATTCTATTGATCATAGCTTCAGGTCATTCATGTATGATGTTATTTACAGTCATAATAAAAAAACTATTTACACGTCGATCAACCAATAAAAAAACAAAAACACAAACATGCAAATCAATATTGACAGATTATACTACAATCTATACATAAAAAATTGAATCAATAAAACTGAAAAGTTTTTACAAATCACTATTCTTATTTAAATAAATTATTTCTACAAAACCAGAGAAAAATAATATACAAAGAGCCCATGCATTATTCTTTACCAAACAAAAACCGATATTACCCCTAGACCTCAAATATAAACGATAACCCTGTACCTTTGCGTAATGCTTAGGAGGGAATCTAAATAAAAAAACTCACTTTAACCTTAGCCGGTTCACAAGAAATGAAAATAAATGTTGAGCAGTATTTACTCTTTATTGTACAGTAAGTACGTCCATCAAAAGGAAAACAGGTAATTACCGCAGTCACAGACCTGTAATCATCTACTTAGGCCCCGTCTGGAACAGTGGAAATTCGTCTTACTTTCCTTCAAAGTTTTCAATATAAATATGGCACAGTATTGAGTATTGTCTACTGTCCAAAACTTTCATACCAACTTACTTCAAGAATATCATTATTTATCCACTAAGTAATGAGTGAAGATATAAATAAGGATGACATAATAAAAACCTGTTGAAGTAATAAAAATATCAAATAAATATTTTATTTAAAAAATGAAAAAAAAATAATATTAAGGGCATTTATTTGCAAAATAACACACTGATTGATCCTTCAATGAATCTCATATAAGATGAGGGATAATAATGCTGCATTGAGCTATTAAATTGCTAAAACCAAAATTACTAAAATTATTCTGTTTTCTTAAAACTATAAGACTGTTTTAGTTAGATCAATTTAACAGAGAATCCAAAATATAATTCTGATCTCAGTCTATTTTTTATCTGGAATTACAAACTCATTACTTCTCATGAATAATGGTATGTGGCAGTATCAAATAAAATGTCTAATTTTATTTAATAATTATTTACTGCTTTTATTTTATTGATTATACAAGTCATATTAAAGTTCTTTCAATGGCTCTTAACTAAGGATCAGTCTCAATATTATTTGATAATGAGTTAGTGAAAGATCTGTTCTTTTAAAACAAAATTTTTGTAGAAATGAATACAAATATTGATCAAGTTGTAAATTGACAATAGCAAGGAATATATCTCAATCTATATATCCACACTGGTTAGAATATGCTAGGTTGTGCCAGTAGAACAACCTCCTCTCCCTCTCCCTTGTATACAAATATAATGGGGTGGTAATGGTAATGGGTAAGGATAATGGTGAGGTAGAGGATAATTGAAAAAAAAAAATCAGAAAAGTTCAGGGAGATTGATAGAACAGGATAAGGCCTCAAAACTTGAATTGGAATTGATCCATTTTATGTTTCATGATACTATTTAATAGAAACCTCCATTATAAACACTTAAAGAGTAGACATTTTTTTATGATCAGCTTTAAAACATATTAAATCTGACATAGCCAAGGGTTAATCATTTCTTAGAGCTGTAATTTTCTTTTTTTTTTTTTTATTATAATAACGCACATCACACATTGAAATCTACTAAGGTAATTCCCATTTTTTGAACAATTTTTGGTCCACTATAATTTGTAATGAATTAATACCATTTTTTTTCTCATATTCCACAACCTTGTTTTATCTCCACAGCTATATGGTGAAATAACAGTTCTTCATAATCAAGTATTGTAAATAGTGCAGTCAACGAAGGGGTTGTAGAGTGCACAGAGGATAGACAAGCAATTGACTTTAGGAATTTGTTGAGTTCTGCGCATGCGTTAACCTTACACATATACTCTCTTTATTTCGTCTCTTATTAAGTGACTTCATTAACAGTGAAATAATTCATGTTATATGTGAAAAAGTAGTGTAAACTGTTAAGTTAACAATTAAGTTGAAACTGGACATAAACAAGGTGAGTAATCACTTATTTATAACGGCATTGTGAACAGTGTAAATGGACCTGAGGTTAGTGATAGATAACAAGCCGGCCATTTACATTCGTTAATCCGACCAGTGGGCTGCTGCCCTTTGGTGGAAGCAGATCTACGTTACTTAGACTTCTACAAACTCGCGTAATATATACGTAATTGATAAAGGACATTTTTTTTTTTTTCAAATTATTACAGTTATCTCTAATTAAATTAATATGAGATGCGCTATTTTCATATGGTAATGTCGAGCAAAGGTAACAATCGAACTTTAAGATCTAGGAGTCTCGATACTACAAAGAGTTCACCCATCAAGAAAAGGGCTAGATGCTCGAAAAAAAAATACCCCGCCAGCTACACCAGAGAGCTCAGTTGACGAAGTTGAAAATCAACCTGGCACATCATCACAAAATATGTCAACACAAGTTATACCAATACAAGGTACGCTAGAAGAATCGCCTTTTGTTACAGCTAATCCATTCCGAGTGCTGTCAAACACACAGAATGAACAAATGGAAGCAGTACCCATCCCTAGTGAACCTAAACCTCCACCAATATTCGTTAGAAATATAAAAAATTTACAATTAATGTGTCAACAATTAAATAATATAGTGGGCTCAGGTAAATACTTATGCCAAAGCCGCACTAATGACACGAAATTAATGCCTGACACCCCAGATACGTACAGAAAAATTGTCAAGTATTTATCTGACACTAAGGCGGATTATCACACATATCAACTGCGCCAAGAGAGAGCGCTAAGGGTGGTGATCAGGAGATTACATCCATCAACACCGCTGGATGCCATTAAAGAAGAACTAACTGAGATGGGGTTCCGTGTTCGACAAATAGTGAATATATTCAAGGAAGATAGAGAACAGCCTGGTAAAAAAAATAAAATACTGCCCCCACTATTCTTCGTTGACCTTGACCAAACGCCCCAGGTCGAAGAAATCTACAAGGTCACACACACGCCTTTATTACACTAGCGTTGTTGTAGAAAAGCCCTACACTAAGCGCGACATTGTACAATGCCATAACTGCCAGGCTTATGGTCATACGAAACGCTATTGCCACCACATTCCTAGATGTGTCAGGTGCGGTGATCAACATAAAACAGAGGACTGCCAGAAGTCCAGAAGAACACCAGCAGTATGCGCTTTATGCCATCAAGGGCACCCAGCGAACTACAAGGGTTGCCAAACATATAAGGAACTGAAAGCAAGAATTTATGCAGCTCCAAGAGAAGAACGGCCATCCAGGCCACCAAGACAACCCTCTAGAACTGTAAATACAAGAGTGTCCTATGCTCAGATGTTCAAAGGAGACACTGCACCCACACAAACTCAGGCCCTGCCACAAGAACCTCAACCTCGAGTATTCACATCTCAACCACAAAACCCTTATCCCATCTCTGAACCTAGGCCTAATAACCAGACATTCATTCCTCCTCCTCCCAATGCCACTGACCTCACAAGCCTATTGACTTCTTTTCTCTCTGAATTCAGGTCACTCATCACTCCTCTCATTTCCTTACTTACCAATGTTGTATCCTCATCCCACTGTCGAGAAATCCTTAAATGTCCCCAATCAAATCCCTCTCCGTTCTCCTTTGGAATGCGAATAGT